GCATTCACCTGACAGTGGCTGTATATGCTGCCTACTGTGTTCCCAACTCAGCCCAGGCTTCCTTAACATTGAGCACAATCTCATTAATGAGATTTCAGAAGAGAATGAGACACTAACTAAAAAAATGTGATGCTAATCTTAGCCATACTCAGTAGGGCTTCTAGATTGATGGATATGATGCTCAGAAACCCAGTTTAGAGGTAGCGAACCTAAATGTATTATCCTAAACTCTTGACTAATACCAGTTTGCTAAAACTAAAGACCTGGGTAATTTAGAAGGATGCAGCTCAAGGATGCTCCTGTGACTTTGTGGGCTGGAACTGTTTCTTGCTTTGTATTTGGAGGCCTCTGGGTGTTACTGTTCTCCAAGGAATAAAGAAAAACTTGCCTTCCTGTGATAACTGTTCTCTCGGGGCTGACTGATATGGACATAGTTGTAGTATTATAACATAGGCCAGAGAAGGTCAAAGAGGTTCATGGGATGGCAAAAGAGGATGGTGCTTTCCTGGTAATATTCAGAAAGTGTAACCTAAACCAGTGGTTCTCAAACTTATTTGATTGCCCACCCCTTTCTTTGTGTCTGTAGTTGTTTATGTCTTCCCCCTCCTTCCCCCCAAGCATATAAACCACCACCCAGCTCTGAAGGCAGAGCGAAGAGCAGGGGCTGCTGGCTGGGTGCCCCGCTCTGAAGGCAGCACCATGCCAGCAGCAGCACAGAAGTAAGGGAGACAATGTAAAAAGTGATATTTGTCAAAATCACTTTTCACAGCAGATTTAGCACCCCACTGCCACCCTTATTTCTGCGTTGCTGCTGCATCCCGGGGCTGACAGATGGAAATTGGGAGATGGAGCGGAAGGGGGGCGGGAGGAGAGCCTGAGTCCAGGCTGCCTCTGGTGAGGAATAGAAGGAGGGTGCAGGAGGAGAGCCCGAGCCCAGGTGGCGGGGCTCCGGCTGTCAGCCCCAGAGTGGTAGGGCTCTGGCTGTCCCCTTTTCCCTGCCTCCCAGATGTGCACAGCTCTTCTGCATGAGCTCCAAACACCCAGGACTGACAGCCAGAGCTCTTCCTTCCCCACCCCACCCCCGCAAAAAAAGCCCACAGCTCGCACCTCCCTAGACATGCCTCCATAGTTTGAGAACCACTGACCTAAAGCATTAAATTTTAAAGACTTTTTCATCACAGCTGTCATCTTGCACTCATTCTGCCATTGGAATCTTCTTCTTTAAATGTTGATGGTTCTCACCATAGAAAAAAGAGTAGGGCTGGATGGGAAATGGAAAAATCCTATATACAAAGAATAATTCAGGTGCTGCTGTGGCAAAAGGGAACATAACCAAGGACAATGTCTAGATCCTCAGTCTATCTTAACTCCCATTTTTTCCCACCACACCAGTGCATGTAGATGGAAGGTCTAATAAGGAGAAACTATTCTGATATTGTTCATTATTTTCAGGTAGACAAGGAGATAGGGAATGAGCATTCTAGAAAGCAGCCTACATTAATTCTTTATAGTACCCATTATCTGCTACACTTTATTGTACCAATTATCTCCCTGTCTTCAAAAGTTAGATCATCTGCTGCCCGAAGAAATCTGTGACTTCACTTTGAATGTGTAGTTCTAGGATGGTCAGATGAATCCATGTCAGGAAAGGAGAAGAGAATTAAAAGCAAGGACTATATCTAGACTTAAGAGAATGCCTTCTGAAGAAGGGATGCACTTTAGACTTATAGGCTTGTAACAACTTATCTGTCTTGCAATATGGTTGATCTGCTTTCTGAGCAGCTAAGTCCTTTAAAGATTGATCTAGCTTATCCTCAAATAGCCTATGACCTTTCTGTGGCAGAGCCATTAAATATTGCTTTGAAGAAAAATCTCTTTGCATAGGTATCAATCATAAAGCCCTGTGTTTAAGAACATTGCTAGTTAAGAACAAAGATCACACACTCAACCTGTCTAATGAAGCATATCCCAGAACTGCTAATCATTAGTTAAATTGTTTCCTAGTTTTTTTTATTTTATTTTTCTCCTTTTGGAAAATAAAGGGTGTTCTGATACGAGTGTTGTCCTTGGAATTCATCATGACTTAGAAGGAAATTTCCTTCCCTGACAAAAATGACTTGAAAGTGTTGTGTTACAAGAATATTCTTCTTTCCAGACAGCATGTAATGCATTTCCTAAGAGCAGTATTTTCTGAAACCCTCAGTTTCTACCAAGAGAAAGGTATCTTAATTTAGAGAACAACCTTACTTAGATTGTGAACTGAAGGTATTTGCAAGGGGTCTGAAATTCTGAACAGATTCAAAAACTTGGGTGTAGAAATGAGCCTTTCCTTAGGTCTGTGGGGAATTTTCTAAAGGGCAGACTCAAGCACTTCCACCTTTACAAACCCTTCCTGGAGTTAAAAAATAGCCATATTTAAAGGTGAACTGTAAAGCCAAAAACAAAAAATCTTTTGGCCTTTACTTTTTCTTTATGCTGTATAAAGACTCTCTCTCAAAGGTGTTTCTCTGCTTGTTATTTGCATTGGAAATATCAGATCCTCAGTTCCCTCTGTTTGCAAGAGCCCCCTGACAAGATCTTCTCTTAGACTATAAGGATCAGCATCCCATCCACAAAGACAGGGGAATAAAGAGCTGCAGTACAGGTAGCAGCCTTGTCGTGCCACTATTGAGGTCCTCCAAAGATCTGGTTAAGGGCCTTGGCAAAGAGAATACCTTATGTGTCAGACCTAAAAAAGGAAGCAGGAAAAATATTGGGGAAAAAAAGAAAATAACAAGGATGTCTTCATACGTCATTAAGAAGAAGCAGAAGTCAACAATTAGTCTTTTATTTGCTTTGTAGTTAATATTTAAGAAATGAACCAAAACTGGATGCAGTGACCCCTAGGCTGAGATTCAGAAATCATTTATCAATGCTCAAGAACACTACACAACAGTTTAAAATAGGAGGTGGAAAATATTGCATCCAATTGGAAATGGAACGGGAAGTTAGGTTGCAGAATGTGCTTATCTGAGATGAAATAGGGTTGATTCTCATACCCTTTGGAGAGGTGCTAGGGGATCTTCAATAACTGCAAGGAGTTAGAACCTTGCTTTTACATCTCATTGAAAATGCCTCCATCAGCACAGTGCTCTCTCACATCATGCTGTGGCAGTGTTTCAGCTGGTTCATCTACTGAAAGGGAATGTCAGGAACTACTGAATCAACCACCCCACCTCCTGCAATATCTACTGTAGGTTTTTTCAAGAGGTTTTCTTGGTCCCGTTCATTAATTTGCAACATCCTCCCCTCTACTCTCCTGCCTCCTCTCACACTCACTACATGGTTGTTAATTTTTCAGCAGTACTTTAAGTTATGACTTGGAATTGAGTCAACTAGCTCCCCCGTCATAGCTGCCAAGTTCTGTGTAGCTCCTGCTGGGACATTTGCAACTAAGGTGTATATAACCAGCAACTTCAGCTTAAGAAAATTAGTGCTGGTGAAAGATACAGTACTGGCCTGAGTGCTGTAATGAATGTACTCTTCTTTTTATCTATGGGGCAAGCTTCCCACACATGGCCCTGCCAGCGTACCTCAACCCTGAACTGCGGGGACTTTCTCTAGAGGCAACAGGGCTATTTTATTCTCCCTGGCCCATGCAGTTTTTGGCCTCTCTGTTGAATCTGCCAGTTTAGTTCAAAGCATGATGATGAGTTTGTGGCATCTTAGCTGGAACTGGCACCCACCAAACTTACCTGATATAGCAGCACCATTGGATGGGAACAACTTCTTTAATCTCTACTGAGTTGAACTGGATTCAGAGTGGTGCCCTCAAGGTGAAAGGCTTTGTGGCTCCTTAGTAATGCCCTCAGAAATTCACTCTCCTAATAAATGCTAACGTTGCACCTCGAGAATGAAGTTTACTTTGTTGAAAGATAAGTGTATTAAATCAAGTTCTGACCTTTCACAGGCTGGGTCTTCTGTGGGGTTCCATGCGGAGCAGATAAAGCACACGACCAATGTGGTTGCAAGCTGAATCCGAATTCTGTTTATTGCAAGCTTTCTTTTATAGTTTTTCTCTACATTACATAACCCAATTAGGCTATAATCACACATCTACCGATTGGACAAGAAGGAGAATCATGTGTTTATCACATGTATAGCCCCACACCGATTGGTTCAACCATTCCTTACATAAGGCCATGATTTGTTTACCTCATCTTATATAATCCTAGACCACCAGGGGGCCTTACATAAGGCCATGATTTGTTTACCTGGCAAGTGTCCCATCGTGACCCTTACCTCCTCATGGAACTTTTCATTAGGTTGGTGTAGGGATGATACATCCCCACAGTCTTCCACTTTCTGCACACATAAACAACATCTCCTACACACTGCTCTGCTTTCTTCAAACACACTCTATAATTAAGTACCCACCCTGTTTTTAAAGGGACAGCTCCTATTAACCCAAGTAAACCACTAAAAATATCATAATAAAACAAGTATGAGAATTCAAATTCGCCTCTAAATAAAATGTTTTGTAATATGACATGACATCATGTCAACAGTTGCATTTTTCCAGTCTTCACACTAACTTATACCTACACTTTTACCCCCCTTAAGCCATCATTAGGGTTTGAACCCAAGATTTTCAGATCACAGACCTCTTCCACTTCATCTACAGTTGTAACTGGTAGGGAAATATGCTGTTATCTTCTATTAGGACCAGCCCATAAGAGTGAGCCATGATGCATACTTTGCCACACGGTACACAACTATTGTTGAAATAGCCCTGGAATATTTGATTTTAGGATTCATGGCTTCTATTCCTAGCTCTGGAAATAGAATATGAATAGAAACAGCATTGCCAAATGTAATGAATGCTGCTGTTTGGTCCTCACAAAGGTTTGAAACTGGAATCTCTGGATCTAAAAGCCTATCTTTATCTGCCTCATAAACTTCTGCATATGATCTAACCTTAGGGGGGGTCAAAGGGCCACACTTTGTTAACATGGATTACACATGCACATAATATGACATGGTTCTTCTCAAGGGCAATAAATGAGACCTGAGTTCTATTGCCAGTTTCACCTGCAGTGACCTTGTGGAACCTGAGTTAGATGTAAAATAGATCGGGGGACTGAACTCCCTATGAATGGGGGACCAGATGGATAGGAGAGGGAGCAAGGGAAGTTACTGAGACTCGAGGGGGCAGCTGGCTCCAGGCTAGGAAGGTATGTCCCAGTAGTTCCCATTGCCGTTCCTGGGGTTGGTGCCTGGTGCCGTGTATTCCCCTCACCTCCTTGGCAGCTGGCAACCTGTGCGCCATTGCCTCCCACCCAGGTGCTGATGCCCTGTCCAATCTCCCATCTCACGCTAATGGCTGGTGCACACTCTCCTGCCCTTCCCTGGGGCTGGCTGTCTCTGCTGGGACCTGTAGTGGCTGAAGGTGGGACCTGGCTGGGCTGGGAAGTCTTACCTGCTCCTCATCAGTCATCCTGATCTTGTGGCCTTGGCAGCTGCTACAGCCTCTCCTCCAGATCCTGCTCTCATATCTTCCTCCATGTGAATACAGCAGAGTCCACTCCCAGATATTGGTGGGTAGGCAGAAACATAGACCTCCACACACTATTTCCATTGCAGAGATGCTAGCTCCCTCCCCGCCCCCAGTTCCATTGGCCCTGAAATGGTTGAATAATTGCCCTTCTACAGTAGAGTGTCAGTTAATAAAGGTTGCAAATGGCACAGAAATATTAATAGCAGTCAGAGGAACGACTGAAATTAGAACTTACCGGTATGTCTCCTGCCTTACATCTCAGTTCCCATTCTTCTAGACTACAGGATATTGTATAGGGGAAGAGTCTCTTTCTCCCCCACTACATATGACTATCAAGTCAGATATGTGATACATCTGGTGGGTTTATGCAATATGAGGTAGTTTCAATTATATTATGATGTTAGTTAATTTTCTGTTTAGCCTGAGCCTTGCTGTCTGCCTACAGCTTGTTTCCTCTTTCCTTTTTGCAGGCTTTTTAGTGCAATTTTAGAACAAGCAACCAAAGCAGATGGGGTGAATTCAATAGGAGGGAAAGGTGCCGGATTTGATGTTAAAGCACTGCGGGCTTTCCGAGTGTTACGCCCCTTACGGCTGGTATCTGGAGTTCCTAGTAAGTAACAATCATTTTCCCTTTTGTTTTTGTTTTTTTGGGGCAGCGGGGGGCAGGGGTATGTGTGGAGGTGGGATGGACGTGGGCTAAACACAGGGGCAGGAATTATTTTTCTGTGGAAAGATGTAATGTGATGCAGATGTTTTGGGGACTGGGAAGAGAGATACTGTTTTACGTTAATGTGGCTACATGGTCAATATGACATTAAATTAAAAGATGGAAGAGTCAAACCTGAGAGGGTAGGTGGGCAGGAGGGGGGTATGTGTATGAGAGAGATTTATTACACAGTTACATAAAGTCTGCAGTGTATGATCAAACAACCTCTATAAATAGTGGAAATTGCAGATCAATTTCAAACAAAAGTAAATGAAGTTGTAATCTCTATAATGAATCTAATATAAATCAAATGAATCAAACAACTGGGATTCTGGCTTTGACGTCACTGTATTAGTCTTGCAAATGGATGACCTAATGGAACGGTGAATAACGGTCCATAGGACAATAAATAATCATGATTTCAGTTAGAGTCATATTAATTTAAATAATTTTGACGACTCTGAGGAAGCCTCCAGGCAGTTTCTGATCATCCAGTTTCTACTGTCATACCGGCAGGGAAGTTTTGACTGACCAAAAGCTGACTTGTCCCACTGTGGAAATGGGATTTGAGCATTGTTTTATGGCAGGGCTTTAACCTTTTGAATCAAGAGTTCTGTTTGAGAATGAACCAGTGATTGGTCTTTTGGGTAGGGGGTTAGGGTGAAGGACCCCATCCAGTTCCATAGGGGTGATTGATCTAGTTGGCAGAAATGGGGGGGGGATAATGTAAGGAATGGACTTTTGGGGTTGAGTCATTTGCACTAGAATGGTTGTGGAGAGGGGGCTTTCTGTACTTTTATTTGGGGAAACTTCTAGGTTGAGGGCTTATTTCAGTATTGCCAACCTCAGTTATTCAAAAATCATGAGTTGGGCCCTCCAAATATTACTAGATTGCCTTAAAAATAATAATGAAATTAAATAAATAAAACTTGGGTTCTTTTCATTTGACTTGGTTTCTGAGCCCTTAGGTTACAGTTGGGTCATATTTTCAGCCTTTTCTCCTCAACTATGAAACTTACTTTTCAAATGAAAGTTGAGATTCTTGGCTTTAGGAGCTAGGGCTTTAAGAAAAACAATAAATATTGCAAGAGTTGGCAACACTGCGGAAGGTCCTTGCTCATGCACCCAGATGTGACTCTGTGGTGGCCATTGTAGGGTGGGAAGGATGGTTGAATAGCTTTCTGTACACTGAGGAGATGAAGGACCAAAGAGGGAGCCTGCTGCAGGAGAAGGGAGAGATGGTATCTGCCCCCTGGACTGCAGGGGCAGGCCCATCTTTTGTTAATAAAGTTGTATGCAGTGTTGTTGTAGCCATGTCGGTCCCAGAATATTAGAGAGCCAAGGTGGATGGAGATGGTATCTTTTATTGGACCAATTTAGCTTTTGAGCTCCACAGAGTTCTTCTTAATAAAGTTGGCAATCTGGTAGTCCAGCTAGCTCCTCCACAGCTTTTGAATACCCAGATAGAAGCAGCAGCCAAGAGTGCTTTTTTTAATATATGCTCAGTGAAGAAGGTTCTGACCTCTCCTCTCAGATGTGCACCTCACAACAGTTATCAGTGCCTTAGCCACCTCTGGGTAGGATTACTGCAATGTTTTTTTTTATATCCAGCTATCCTTGAAGACCTCTCAGAAACTTTAGTTAATACAAAATGTGACTGCTCACTTAGCTTACAACCCTAAACAAGTAGATCAAGAGGGAGATTGGTAAATTGGCTGGCTGGTTGGCAGAGGTGGTGGGGGGCTGACAGAGGATGGGAGCAGTAGGAATGGGAATTGTTGTTTTGACCTGGGAGGGATTGTGTGAGGTCCTTCATCTTGTAAGTTTGCTGTTGTAGTCCATGCTTGGTGTCCAGTCTTGTCAATCTCTGGAGACTCCAGTTTGAACTAGTATGTATGAACCTCTCCAGGCAGTGGTACTTTTTTCTGGAGGTGTTACAGCCTAAGTGAATTTGCCTAATTGTCCCCTGTCACTGTTCAGGGCAACTGCACCTGTATTTCCCCTCTGTGGTTCAGCAAGGGCACCCACTCTTGGTTTTCAGCTTCACAGCTATTGCCTCTCTTAGGTGGAGACGTCTCTCTCTCCCTTCTGACCGGGTATTCAAGTTTATCTTAATTCCATAAGGTTTGTTCAGGATGTGACAGGTTGATCATATCTGGTCATATCTCCCACTGTTCTTAATTCTTGGAGGAGTTGTGGTCACCCTCCCCCATGGAATTCATACAGTCCCTGGCCCATGATGATACATAAACTTAATACAGTAAGATCTCCCAAAAATATTGCAGGAAATTGTCACATCTGTCACACCTTCCTATTCACATAAATCTATCCCCTATTTGTGGCCCATCCAATGTAGAATCATAGAAATGTAGGGCTGGAAGAGACATTGTGAGGTCATGTAGTCCAACTCTGTGCTGAGGCAAGATCAGGTAAATTTAGATAATTCCTGACAAGTGTTTGTCCAATCTGCTCTTAAAAATCAACAATGACAGGGATTCCGCAACTCCCACGGCAATCTATTCCAGTACTTAACTATCATTATAGTTAGAAAAATTTTCCTAATATCTAGCTTAAATCTCCCATGCTGTAGATTAAGCTGCTTAATTTTTTTCCAACCTTCAGTGGACATGGAGAACAATTGATTGCTATCAGGTCCCCACTCAGTCTTCTTTTCTCAAGACTAAACATGCCTAGTATTTTTTAACCTTTCCTCATAGGTCAAGTTTTCTAATCCTTTTATAATTTTTGTAGCTCTCCTCTGGACTCTATCCGATTTGTCCATATCGTTCTTAAAGTGTGACTCCCAGAACAATACTCCATGTAAGGCCTCACTAGTACTGAGTAGAGCAGGATGGTAACCTTCCATATTTTACATACAACACTCCTGTTAATATACCCCAGAATGATATTAGCCTTTTTCACAATTCCATCACATTGTTGGCTTATATTAAAGTTATCCACTATAACCCCCAGATCCTTTTCTGCAGTACTGCTGCCAAGCCAGTTATTCCCATTTTGTGTGTTTGATTTTGCCATCCTAAATATAGTACTTTGCATTTGTCTTCAGTGAGTTTCAACTGGTTGATTACAGACCAATTCTCCAATTTGTCAAGGTGGTTTTAAATTCTAATCCTGTCCTCCAAAATGCTGGCAACCCCTCCAGTTTGGTGTCATCCAGAAATTTTAAAAGCATACTCTCTGCTCGATTATCCAAGTCATTAATGAAAATAATTAATAGTACTGAACCCAGGACAGACTTCTGCGGGACCCCACTAGATACATCCCCCAAGTTTGACAGCAAACCATTGAAAACTACTCTTGCAGTACAGTCTTTCAACCAGTTTTGGACCTACCTTATAATAATTTCATCTAGACCACATTTCCTTATTTTTTTATGAAAATGTCATGTGGGACTATGTCAAAAGTCTTACTGAAATCAAGATATTTCATGTCTTCTGCTTCTCCCCTCCACTAGGCCAGTAATCCTGCCAAAAAAGGAAATTAGGTTGGTCTGGCATGATTTGTTCTTGACAAATCCATGTTGGCTATTACTTATTGCCCTATGATCCTCTAGGGCTTAGAAATTGGTTGTTTAATAATTTGTTCCAGTATCTTTTTAGATATCAAAGTTAGGCTGACTGGTCTATAATTGCCCAGGTCCTCTTAGTACCCCCTTTTAAATATAGGTACTTTATTTGCCCTTCTCTAGTCCTCTGGGACCTTAGCCATCTCCCATGAGTTCTTGAAGATAATTGTTAATGGTTCCAAGATTGCTTTAGCTAGTTTCGTAAGTACCCTAGAATGAATTTAGGCAGATCCTGCTGACTTGAATATATCTAATTTATCTAAATATTATTTCCCCTGTTCTTTCCCTAATCTGACTTGTGTTCCTTCCCCTTTGTTGTTAATATTAATTGTGTTAAACATCTGGTTACAGTAAACTTTTTTAGTTATGACTGAAGCAAAATAGGCATTTAAACACTTCAGCCTTCTTGATGTCACCAGTTCTTAGCTCTCCTTTCCCACTAAGTAGTGGACCTACACTTTCCTTCATCTTCCTCTTGCTCCTAATGTATTTATAAACCCTCTTTTTGTTGCCTTTCATGTCCCTTGCCAGTTGTAACTCATTTTGTGCCTTAGCCTTTCTGATTTTGTCCCTCTCTACTTGCATTATTCTTTTGTACTCATCCTTAGTAATTAGTCTGTTTCCACGTTTTGTAGCACTCCTTTTTGATGTTTAGGTCATTAAAGAGCTCCGGTTGCAGCCATATTGGCCTCTTACTTTTATACCTATCTTTCCCTTGCATCAGGACAGTTTGCTGTTATTGTGCCTTAAATATAGTCTGTCTTTGCCAGGTCTCCTGAACTCCTTTTTTCCTTAGGTTTTCTTCCTGTGGGACCCTACCTATCAGTTCTCTGAGTTTGTTAAACTTTGCTTTTGGGAAGTCCATTGTCCTTATTCTGCAGCTCTCTTGCCTTCCTTTCCTTAGAATAATGAAATTTGTCATTTCATGATCATTTTCACCCAAATTGTCTCCTACCTGCAGATTTGCAACCATTTCCTCCCTATTAGTCAGAATCAAGTCTGAAATGACTGCCCCTCCCCTGTTACTTTCTCTACCTTCTGAAACAAGAAATTGCCCTCTACACATTCCAGGAACTTACTGGCAATTTTGTGTTTTGTCATCATACTTTTCCAGCAGATGTCTGGGCACTTAAAATCTCCCATTACTACGAGAACTTGTGTTCTGGATATTTCTGTTATATGTCCTAGAAATGCATCATCCACTTCCTCCTCCTGATTTGGTGGTGTATAGTAATCCCCTGTCAAGACGTTACCCCTATTTATCACCTTTTATCGTCACCCAGAGATGTACAACTGGTCTACCTTTCACCTCTTTCTA